AGAGTCCATTGGAGTACACGAAGTCCAGTAGAGTCCACGAAAGTCCAGCAGAGTACAGAGTCCAGCGCAAGTACATCAAGAATGAACGAAAAATCGCATTGTTGTCCCGATGATTGGACTTCTTGTACTTCATGGACTTCGTGGACTTCGTGGACTTCGTGGACTTCACGGACTCAGTTGGTACTTTGTGGACTCTATCTGTACTTTGAGTACTTCAGGGACTCTGAAACTGCCATGAGAGTCCAGTAAGTCCAAGAGTACAGCGTTTTCCTTTGGACTCTCTGTACTCAGAGTCCATGAAAGTCCAGTCAGAGTACACGGAGTCCAATCAAAGTCCATGGACTTTGTAGAGTACAAAAGTACGAGAGTACGTCGTTTCCCCCTTGATACTGATGTCATATTAACATGTCCTGGAAAGAAAAATGACCATTATGATCGCTAGCTTGAAAGTTATAAAACAAAACTTACTTGATAATATTCCATGTGAAAAGTTTTGCCTTTGTAAGCTATTTGCAAGCAGCTTAAAAAGGCTTATGCTTCTATAATCTGCTGTAAAGCGCTTAAATATTCTCGTATTAACCTGCTAAAAGCCGCTTCACTCAAATAAACTGCTTATTTTAGCTTAGAAATCGGTTTCACTAAGCGCTTTCTAGCGCTTACCATAAAAATCGCTGAAAAGTGCTTTAAATTTTGTTATTTCTAAGCACTGTACAGCACTTACACGAAAAATCGCTGAAAAATGCTGTGTCTTTTCTTGTATTTAAGCATTTCTCAGGACTTACAGTAAAAAGCACTACTCAGTCAGACAAGACTATTGAAAAAACACGTAAAAGGGTGAGGGTGTGATTGGGAGTGGATATGGATGTGGGTGTATGTATATGAGTTGATATTGGTGGGTTAAGAGCGAGAGAACACCCACACTCACACCCTAAATAGACTCGTTATAGAAATGAATGTTATGAGTACTATGTATTAGAGTATATTTTAATATTAAGAAAGAAAGAAAGAAAGAAAGAAATAGCTGCGTAACAAATAGAACAAATGCAAATGAATTAGACCGAGTTTAACCTAATTGAAAAAAATCCTTGACTAAGTTTGAAAAGCTATAGATGAATTTATGTTGAGATAACAACTCAGTTAAATTTTTTCCCTAGAGAGATTCGGCATACGCTGCCTTTTTTTTACTATTAACAACACTTTTAATGATTCATAGTTATCCAGGTGAAAGAAAACGGCCTGAAACGGCATAAAAACGATGTAAAACGTTAAAAAATGGTGCCGTTTTCCGTCAGCTCGGAAAACAAAGAGAATAGTGTTAAAAGCGATGACCGTTTTCTAGCAAAAAAAAGGTCCGTAAAACGAGCTGACAGATTGCGACGAAATAGGATGAAAATTAATGGCGTTTTATGTCGTTTAATAGCCGTTTCCGATGGCCTTTCAGACAGCCGGAATGATCCTCCTGGGTAGTATTATTTTTATAATGTGTTCAATTCATTCAAAGAGTTTAGATTTGAAAAGAATGAAATAGCTCGTGTCTTTTATTGCCTTCACAGTACTTGACTCAATTTGTCTTTAGCTATTGATTTTTTGCATATGCCATCAAAAAATGTTCGTTACTCTGTTCCAAATAACAGTTCGAATATGTATAACATTCGTTCAACGAATAATGATGCACTTTAACAATATTAGTTTCTTTCGTTTTCTTCAAATATAATTTGCGAGTAACACAGATAATAGCCATGGTCTTTCATTTTTGTTGTCTCCTTTTTTTTTTGTCTATACATAATTTTCTAACTCCTGCTCCTGCCAGTAGTGTCAAACTTGAAACTTGAAACTTGAATTCAATTGAAATTTCAACTTTCAAGTCGTTTCACGACCGGTCCTTCTCTGGGCAGTCCTTTCGCGGCACCCACACCAGCTACGATGTGATGTGTGTCGTTTCGTGGCTAGTTCTTTCGTCGCACTCTCACCAGGTGCGAGGTGATGTGTGTCGTTTCGTGGCCAGTCCTTTTCTGGCCAGTCCTTTCGCCGCACCCTCACCAGCTGCGATGATGTGTGTGTGAGAATGCGGGTTAGTGGTGATTCTTCACAGTGCTGCCCATTTGAGGCTTGAAAGTTGAAAGTTGAAATTTCAATTGAATTCAAGTTTCAAGTTTGACATATATGGCTTCTGCAACAATCAAACTAGTGTATCGTGAAAACATGTATCTATGTCTATTTCTTTAATGCCCCTTATATATCTAATTGATGAACTTATAATATCGCAATAAAGTTGAGCCGAACGTAAACAAAAAATTATAGATTATTTTAGTCAGATAATTATTTCACAAAAATATTAATTTTTTTGCTTATTAATTAAAAGATTCTATTGGATAAATCTTAGACCCTCTTTTACAATCTCCAAAATTACTGATAGATGGCACTCATAGAGATAAATAATATATAGGCACATGTTTCACAGAGATGTTGAGTTTCATCAAAAAAAATTAACTTTATTATGAGAAATAAAAACAATAACTAATAGAAAATTTGGTACTTTTACACTTTAGAACCCCAAAGTTTCTAATTGTAACCAACTCTGTCGTCCTCACTCTCACTTTCGTGTTCGTTCTGTGACCAAACAGATGCTTGGAGTGTTAAAATATGAAAGGACCGAATATCCTGGCTCGGAATAATTTTGATTTTTACCGCATAGTGACTCTGAGAAAGCATTTCAAGTCCGCAAATAGCGAATTGAATGATCCAGTCGTTTATGAATTCGTTCCAATGTATTTTTCATTTTTTTCCTCGTANGGTGAAGATTTTTGAAAACGATATGCTGAAGTCGTTTTCCTTTTGACTTAGACTTGTAATATGATCAACGGATAGGAAAAAAATCTTCACTTTCAATCTACACAAGATTGAGATTCCAAGCCTGTTCTGTTCATGAGTAATAAAACTTTTCCTGAGACATCTAACTTCAGCCAATCGATCTGGAATCGTCGTGAAAAGCAACTAGACAGGAGTAAGTTATTGTGCTAAGTCGAATGGGGGTATTGTTTTTTCTGTTTGGAATATTGATTCCTTCAATACATGAAACCAAAAAGCAACTATGATCATTTGATTCTCATAGCTTCTGAACGAAATAAGCTTGGAATCTCAACCTTGTATAAATCGAAAGAAAATGACTTCAAAAGTTCGTTTGAGAAAATCTTTACTCAGAACTTATCTGATGGATCAATAGTTGACTAATCAAATCTTAATATACTTCTATTATTCAAGGTCTTTTCTCTTGATTGGTAAAAACCGCAGGTCTCTGCAATGTTCTTATCAACAGTTATTCAAAAAGATAGTCGAACACATTATATTTTATAATGAATAGTAATTAAAAGATTTCTAAAAACATACATCAATTGTAAACATTCGATAGCCTGGATTCACATTTGGATAAGTTGTAAATGAAGGTGCTATATAAGCGACCGAAATCTATAAAGATAAGAAAAGTATTTGTACTGTACGAATATACATTAAAACTTACTGCTTGTTTAGAATCTGTTTCATTATAGAAAAGCATAAATTCATCAAAATGCGTATGAGCAAAAAATTGACCAGTTATCGTCTTTTGATAGCGATTAATGATGCTATAATAAGCCCAACTAAATGATACCATACACATTCGTGGTGGTTGATGTCCAATAATATGAACTTTTTCTTGATGTTCTTCAGCATATTGAAGCCATTGAATCAACTATAATGTAAAAATAATTCAAATATATATATATATATGTCTAACAAATGTTACAAAAAGAGAAATTTCTAAAAATTACCCATTGTAATTGACCTAGAGGATCTGTTGAATTAATGAAAAGCCAATAATTGTCTTCGCTACAATAATTCATATTTAATGAAATCAAACGAAATTTTGGTGCAATTATTGTAGTATAGTAACCTCCTTTAAGGATAGTATCTCTTGTTTGTTCGTCAAGTCCAAATTGATTAATCCATTGAAAAGCTAATGTCGAATAAAGCCATGATATATTAACTGTTGGAAAAAGACCAGGTGGTGCTGTTTCATGATTACCTACACAGGGATAGATTTTTTTCTCAGGAAATGTTTGCTTTAATAAACGAGTAGTAAAAGAAATTTCTTCGAGATCTTTATCTTGAGTTTGTTGCCATACATCATGTGGTGCAATATCACCGGTAAAATAAATAAAATCAATTTGTTCTTCATTTTGAACAATATATTTTAACATATTTTCCGCTGTCCATTGTGGTATATCACATGTACGATAATCGCCCCAAAATCCTGCACCTATTTCGCTCGGTTTTGGCATTCCATCACGACAGCACAATGGGCGACCGCAATTAGCATTTGAACCAGGTTTATATTCTATATCAATATGTAGATCAGCTAGATGAAGAACTGAGAAAGTAGATCTCGAAAATAAATCATTATTAGACAAGATTAGTGATTTGGTTGGTGGCGGAATAGTAACATTCCATTGAAGTGCAGGAATATCAGCTTGTGGGACACAACCAAAAGCTACACCACAAATCTCATATGTTGATAATGGACTATAACGAAGAATTTCAATGAGTACAGAATTGTATTCATTGATCATGCCTGAACATACTGCATCATCAGCAAGATGTAGACTTTGACATAGTACTATACCCAACTTTTCAATTAATGACGATTCATTTTTCGCAACAAGAACTTTCGCAATAGGTAGTAAAAGATTGCATAACTCACATGAAGTCAATTCAATCGAATGATTGGTGACTTTGGAAATAGGAAAAGCATTTGACCATTGTAAAGCCAAAAGGAAAATGATACCGGTATAAAAGGATCGAAAGATCGTCATGATAGATTGAGAAGTGTCTGTTATATCTTTCTATATATTTACTCAACTCATGCGCACATTTCTGGAGATAAGATAATGGTAGTCATATCTTATTTAGTAGAGATTTTTCTTTGACAAGATTGCTTCAAAATACAAAATTCTATATTAAAAAGAAAAAAAGATATTGGTTGTCATTATAAATATTGCCCAGATTGACGCTGGACATCAACATTCACTTCTGACAACATAAAATATAATTATCCAATTTTATTTTTCGGAGTTCAAACGAGATAACAAAAATAAAGCAAAATGTTCAAAGTGAATAGATAATATTATCTTCCATATAAGAGAATATAAGATACAAATAAAAGTCAAAAATGAAACATAGCTTTCATCAAAACATGTTTGCCTGGAATTATTGTTGGTTTAGTTGCTAATGAATTGTAAATAAGAATTTGTTCATTAATCTTTGTTACTTTAAGAATGCAGCCAGTTTTATTCGATAGTCTATCTTTTAGAGAAATTTAAAAACAACCAGACAAGCCTATACTAAAATTCAAAGAGATTTCATACTTTATTTTTTCTCGATTCGATGATTGTGAGTGTGGGTGTGGGTGTGGGGTGTGGGTGTCAGTCTTCTACTCACCCACACGCACACCCACCCGAACGCCACATCACTATTGAAATGTGTAAAAATGGAAATGTCGAACTTATCGTTCGGTCAGATGATCAATAAACATCGCTCTATCAATATGAGTGTTATTCATTTGAAACACATAGTTTTTCGTGCATATTAGTTTAATTTTAATTATCTCGATAAGTTTCTAGGAAATACATCAAATCTAAAATGTTTAGTCATAAATATTTTTGAATATATAGATTTGATGGATGCCTATCGATGACAACATTGAGTCAAATGAATTTCATGTTTCTATCTTAATGAGAGCATTACACTCTGACATTCATTATCCATATAGTTCTGCACTACTGAAATAACGATTAAAATTCGTTCCACCAGCAACTAAGACTTTCCCATTGGCTAATGTGGATATCGTGTGCTCAATTCGTGCAATAGCCATGCTGCTAGTGTTTGTCCAAACACCCGTAGATGGATCGTATAATTCCGCACTATCCAAAGCACCATTATTACCGAATCCACCAACAACTAATACCTTTCCATCTGCCAATATGGATGCTGTGTGTTCACTTCGTTCAATAGCCATGTCGCCTGTTTTTGTCCAAGCTCTTGTTGATGGATCGTACAACTCTGCACTCTTAAAATAAAGACCAGTATTTCGTCCACCAGCAACTAAAACTTTTCCATTTGCCAATATGGATGCTGTGTGCTCCATTCGTGCAGTCATCATCTTGTCAGTTTTTGTCCAAAATCCTATTGATGGATCGTACACTTCTGCACTGTCCCAAACATTCCATTCATTACCACCACCAACAACTAACACTTTTCCATTTGTCAATATGGATGCTGTGTGTCTGCTTCGTGCATTAGTCATCTTACCAGTTTGTATCCAATGTCCTGTTGATGGATCGTACACTTCGGCACTATTCAAAGCTCTATTATTACCCCATCCACCAACAATTAACACTTTTCCATTAGCTAATGAGGATGCTGTATGATCGCTTCGTGGATCAGTCATACTACCAGTATTTGACCAGAGTTCTGTTAATGGATCGTATAATTCTGCACGCTTCGAGTCACCACCAGCAACTAAGACTTTTCCATTCACTAGTGTTGATGCTGTGTGCCGGATTCGTTCAATATTCGTCATGCCAGTATTCGTCCAAACTCCTGTTGATGAATCGTACAATTCTGCACTATACGAGCTACCACCAACAACTAGGACCTTTCCATTTGTCAATATAGAGGATGTGTGGCTGCGTCGTTCACACTTCATGCTGCCAGTATTATACCATTCTAGAAAAAGAGCATTGCAGTTTTTAGTAATTACATAGTTTATTTGCCGAAAGTTTTGATAAGTGTTATGCGAACCAGTTCTATTCACAGTATATAAATGACTTTCAAAATTCTCAAATCCTATTGAGTTTATATACATCCTTATGTTACTCATGAAGATTTCACAAAGCACTATAATTAAACAAGGATAGAAATTTAAGACATCTATGCAATCAATGAAATCTATGATAATTTACAGTTATCATAAAGGCTGATCACAAAGTTCTAGAATTGGACAGTTTGGGTCCCAAACATGAACTATCGATCAAGTGTATACATTCAGGCATAGATCAGAACTCATCTCACAATGATGCATTATATACCTGTCTTCCTATAATGTATCCTATACTCGATATTAATCGATACTGCATCTACAATAGGTGCACTGATGTCAATCACGTCTTATCAGGACCAATACACCAAATGTAAAATATAGTCATGCATTGAATGGACTGACTACGAATAATATCAATCCAAGATAAAAATCTGGCGTGATAGAGCTACGGTTCCCAGTATAGATAAAATTGTCAGACAAGTACATACATAAACATTTTAATAGTGCAGCGAATCGTGTCGAATGCTAAAATGTCAGCAGCTTCACTTTCATTATCCTAAATTACTTCAATTCAAGTGTGAGTTCAAGTACTTTAATAATGCATTGGTTACGAACAGTTTTTTTTTTTCTATTCTTTAACCTTACTCATGATGTTATAGAAAAAACTTTCGGTACTCATAAACAGAACATAACACTCATATTTAACGGAGGACTCAGGGTGTACAACAGTTGTATTGAATGCAAAATAATCAGCGAAGATAACCTTACGATCCGGTCCATACCATTAGATGGTGACAGCATACCACATTCAAACAATACAACAACAAATTTGCAGAAAAACTTAATCGGACAAAAACTCCAGCTAGCGATTCTAAGTACCCAAATAGATTAAGTTTATTATCAAGTCTCACTAATATCATATGATTCTTCCGTATATGTTCGCTTAAAATTCGGATTTCCAATATATTTGTCGTTACTTTTAGTTGTATCTTAAACTTGAATATCGGAAAGTGGTGATGAGACAACATAGAATTCTTTAAAACTCGTTTTCCGTGAAAAATTGTTTATGTAAAAAAAAACATTAAAAAACTAATCAAAAATATCAAAACTTTATCAATCATTCTGGTTACTGTTTGATTATTATCGATTTATAATTGGCTTTTCGCATCGCATATCTATTGAGCCTATCTGCATTCTCCATCGAACCTTACATGAAGACCTGAAAAGTCACCTTAACTAATTAGATTTTGAAAGAACTCATTGTAACATTTCAATGCAGAAAATTCCTTAAATGGAAGTAATGCTAAATATCAGCCTGTTTTCCTACTGATACTATCCATGTATATAAAGATATCTAAGTTCAATTTGCAATCAAGTTCGAAAAATAATTTTATCAGAGAGCCCATTTTTCTTTCAGTCCCCGATCCTCCAATTACTAGACATTGCAAATTAAGCTGAACAATACACTAATCCATTTCGAGACTCATGAACAGTACTTATCTTGCTTACTTACTTTTTGTTAAAGTTGATGTCGGCGTTGTTTGTTTTGGTGTAGTCATGGTTGTCGGTAGGGTATTTATTCGAACTAGACGAATATAATCAGAGCCGGTTATGGTGATTGAGAATACTCCTGTCGTAAGTATATTACGACTCGTGACAACTAAAACATAGACAAGTTCATCCGATAAGTAAATTGAAATGTCCAATTGTGCACTGCTGGCAGCTTTATCGAAGAATAGAATTCGATTTAGCTGCGGATTGTATGGTAAGAAATTATCCTTGTAGAGATAGGTAAATACATTCACATTGCTCTGAATCAAAATGCGGAAGTAACCAGATGTTGAAAGGATCAATTGGAAAGCTTCGTAGTAGTGATCTGCTGTTGAACAATCAATGCAATGATACGTTGGACTGCTTGAAGTAAACTACGATGAATATGACAGATGTACTATCGATGACGTAGCTATGCATTGCAAGTAGCAAAGAAAAATTATTTAGATATTCAAAAACAAAAATAAACAAATGGTGATGCTTTGAGTTATCTAACGTATGCAAAGGTCGATTTCGTCATCTCATTGTATAGTATTATTATTCTTGAATCAATAGAAGTTTTCTACATTTCTAGAAGTGATAAAATTTTCAAATGAGAAATATGAAATTATTAAATCTCCAGATTTCTATTTCCATAGAGATAATTTAAACATGCTAATTCATGAAAAAAACCCTTTCGAAATGAAGTTAACTAATTGAGAACGTACATGCAAGATAAAATAACTTATTACTTTGGTTATTGGCATTGGTTGACTTGTTCTTATCTTTCAAGCCTGTGAATAATCCTGGTACAATAGACACAGTACAAACGATGACCCAAAATAAGGAAAAACATAGCAATATACGCCATTTTGTGCTTTTTGACAGGAAAGGGTTGCCGATGTTGGTCGCATTGCAAGACGAAGTTGTACGTCCACTGTCATTTCCATCGATAACAGAAAGAATTATAGTATCATCTTGTGTGATAAAAGATATTGTCGATGTTCGTCGCTGAGCAGCCAGATATTTCAAGTACTCATCTGCTTGTAAATCAGTAACATCCAACGGTTCTCGAGTAAGTGGACTTGTCCCATGTTTCTCGATCCATTTAACAATGGCTGCACGCTCATAAACATGACCATCTTTAGCTATGACTGGATCACGAAAAACTTGAAGTGTAATCGGACATGTTAATGTTTCTAAATCAATGTTTACTTGTGCATTTGTATCCATATCAGGTCTCAAATATGATTGCTTCTATCATACGTTGTGTAATGTGCAACACGTTATAGTCACGCATCGATAATTATCACAAACAGCGAAGGAAGATGAGAATAACGAAAACATTCACATGTACATGTTTTGGTGTATTTTTTTATCAAGCAACGTTAGTAATTAGAAAAAGAAAATATATGTCACGTAATTTCCAATTGATTGATCTGAGACGACAGTACTGAAACTTTTTCTACAATTGGACTGATTGATAAAATGTCCAAGTATTCGGGAAAAATTCTTTTCAGATACTCGTTATAATATTAACAATTGTATTCACATTAAAGTTTCATGTTTGCCTAGAAAGATTAATTAATCAATCGTAGCTTGAGGTTGTAGTCATGGCAATAGCAGCATATATGTATGAAACATGTCAAAATACGTCAAATATAATGTTGAACATCGACATATGAATTGTCATGAATTCATAACTGTTCTGAAAGTCATGATACTATTCAAGTCTTTTATTAAATTTCTTATATCATCAATATTTCGTTCTCTTTTTACCAACTTGATGAAAGCAACTAAATTTGACACGATGGGAAAAATAAAAAGAATAGATGAAAACCTCGCTTGCAAAATATTACATCTGGAGTTCTATGCAGTACAATACGTTTTTCAGATTCATAAAAAAATTCTTAGAAATACTCAGAGACTCTGAACAATCTAAATGGTCAGAAAGTATTTCGCTTTTTCTCGAGTTTTGCCTTCGTGATCTAACTACGTAGAATATCTGTGTTCTTCTTGTTCAACGAATATTTTCAGCGCAAAAATGCACTCAAAATGGTTTATCATTTCATATTTTAGAATAGATCAGCAGTTGAAACTAATATGCCAATAAAAGAAGCTATGAAAGACAATTCCATACACACATTTAGTATTACCTAATGATTGAGCATATCTGGGAAAGTGAGCAAGAGTGTAATCAGAGAGAATAAAATCCACGATGCTTTCTCATCATTTCTCTTTGAAAACAGTCCGTAATATGCATTTTTCTTTTGGAAAAAAAGAGATCGAATAGACTCAAACTAAAAAAGTTCTCCAATAATCTCATATCAAGTCAGTCCTTTTTCATTTGTCGAGCAATGGTTTCTTTACTAGAAAAAAGCAGGCATGTTTAGTTTCAAAGGCCATAATTTGGGCACACCTGCTTGTCTTGTTTTTAACCGCATCCACAGCTAAATCTGTAAAACGTTTTCATCCATAATGCCAACTGAAAATATCAACGAATGATATCGAATCAAATTCATCATCCATCATTTGTGATCAAAACACTAACTCAGTTAGTGAGCGAATCAAATATGAATATAGTAAGTTTAACGCTAATTTTATTCTTATGACACATAAGTGATTACTTCTGTTTGCACAGAATAATTTTCACAGGTTATGAACGAAAAGAAGTATTGTGCTGACTGATAGTAATTGGTTTTTACTAACTTTCATAAAAACAGAAGAAAATAAATATTTCAATGAAGCCATTTTGAATCCTTGTGTGTTGACTATGTTACTGCGAACGCCGTCTGTTGATGCATGACTGTGAAGGGCAACAATTAACCATATGTATGAAAAGCATCGCGAAGAAAGTAAATGTTGAATTATTTCTTCCGAGAATTATATGTGAGTGCTTCTTCTACATGTTTTTACAAACATCAGACATTCATATAAAGTCAAACACGCTCATGTGCACATACCTACAAAAGCAAAAATGACGAGAAAATGCGCATATACGCTTGTTTGTACGAATTATATATGGTTTTACAGCAATTAATGAAAGCATCGAAGATTTCATGTTCACTTGAGTAAAGAGATGCTTGCGTCTTCAATCATAATGATTTGGAAAAGAAACAACCGTATTTGCAAAACTATTCTGATTAAAAGTTTGCAGCGAAAAAAATAAACTTTATATACATTTTGTCTTTTAGATAATCATTTTCAATTTTTGTCATTGCTACTTTTCCTTTAAAATGCAAAATACAATCACATGGTACTGGTTTTATTCGATATTAATTATGTTTATTACGTACCATGACAGCATAGCTACGACATCGATGAGTTCCAGTGAGACCCTTCATTTATATAAAATTGAAGGGCAAATCGGTTTCCAACCTGAAGACAATTCTCTCACCTAACTGCTGAAGTTTGCTCTTCTTGTTTGTCAGGTGTATCCAGTGGTTTGCATGTTGTTTCGATTAGTTCACCACGAGACATTTTCGAGCCAGCACCTGTTGATATGAATACTAATAGAGAAATTCATGCCTGTAAAGTTAAGTTTCTTCAACCACATAAAATTGTTTTAGTAAAATATCCGCTTCGTTTCAATGCGCATATCAAGCCGAATTGTTTTCAGAAATGCGACGTTTACCGTTGGACTAGTATTATTTTTAGTCCAATATTTGATGAAACAACTTCTGATGGTACTCAATAAAAGAAAAAAGCATTGAAGCGAAAGAGCTAAGATTTTTTTTGTAAATTTATGTGTTTCTTATTGCATTCTTTTCTTTTGGCTACTCATGTTGAATTAAGATTGAAAAAAATTTGTTTGTTCTGTGAAATTCCCATATATTTTCGAAGAAAATACTGAATATAAGTTATAAGTCGAATTTTTGCTAGTTACAATTTCTCTTCACTAATTATAGACTTTAACAACCGGAGTTTAGACGTCATTGAGTACGCTTCCATAGAAGTGCTAGAACATTCTCGAGCTTTTCTTGAAATTTAAATGATTTGAATATGATTTTCAACGCTTCGTAGAACGTAGGTTTTCGTTTTTGCGCAGATACATCATTGTATAATAGATATCAAAGATAATGTTTTGATTTTTCTCCACTGTCACATGATCAGCACGAAAGCATAAACTGATTAATACTAGTGGTTAGTCCATCTCGTCCTAATCCCTTAATTTATTGTTTATATTACAATGCAATGCGCATGACAGAATTTTTTTCTCGTTCTTCGTGTGAGTAGTAGAACACACGCTGCTCACATTATGGAGATTATTTTTACTCACGGGACTGAAAAAAGCGCTCACTGTTCAGAATAAGGAGGTGTTCATAAGTAGAGGTTTTACTATATTTCTTTTTTGAAATATCATGTTTTCACTCTAATTTTTCAATTTAGTTATCAGAGATTAATTCAACTAATATGAAACTATTGTTAATTATTTTCTTAGTAATATCTACATTAATTTTGATGACTTGTTATTGATTATACAAGTTTCTACTGAATCAAATAGTTTAACAACAGAGCAATACCTGTTACAAAATAACAATTTTGGAATAATATTAAAATACAAAGACAATTACATAGTCGACAATTTCCAGTTCGAGAAAATATCACATGATTGATATTCTTTCCAAAATATTTTTAACTTCAAAACATTGTGCTACATAATTAACTAACTTTCTGTCTATGATTTTACACTGCCAAGTACATTTACTTAAATTAATTTTATGAACTTGAACAAATTAATCATATAATGAAATAGATGCAACTAAACTTAAGCGCAATATAGAATAAAACTCAAATATAAGTCAGATCTATTTTTCTGAAAAATCAATGGAAAAAAATTTTCAATTAGAAATGGTAATTTCTTGTTAATTTATTTTAAATTTTTATTGCGCAATTCTTTTATTCTTCCATCATGTTTTGTGAAACCTAAGACTCGTGTTATTAAAACATCATTTGCATCTATGAAGCACTTGCCATTACAATTGTGTTACTAAATAACGGCTAACGGAAAATAACTTGTGAGTTTAATTCTCAGTCGAAGAATATCTGTTTTATGGCAATAGCGATCTAGTATAAACCTTAACCAAACACTTTCACAGTTAAGGAATTCAAATTTACAAACACTTTCTCAAAATTGATGAGTTCGTTTTTTTCGCCAAGTTAGTTCTCATCTGGAAATATGATGATGCTTTATAGAAGTAGCCAAAACCCAAAACAATTCAACTTGAAATGTTTTAGATACAACCTAGATATTTGAGTTTCTTTGAACTCGAGAGCCTACAAACAAACTTTATACAAAATAGTTATTTTCATCGAATGGGTCTTCTTTGACTGAGAATTAATATCGCAAGTTTTCTACTAGCCGCTCCCTGATAACACAACTCTGGTAATCATAGATTTGACAAAGTATTATGGTAGAATAAAAGCATTTAACTTATTTCAAATTTAAATTTTTCAAAATTTATTTTTGGAATTAATAAATTTTTTAAAATGTAAACTGGACATCTGTATATAAAAAAATACTAGAGCAATGCTTTTTTTTAATTCTCTAATGAAAAGAGACATAGACAATGAAAATTTCAAGTTAAGTTTCGCGAAAATATTAAGATGGACATTAATTGATTCTCTATGATTTGTTTTTGTGATGCCGCTGTTTCACTTTCTTTGTTTTTTATCTATTATTTTATGCTGTGTTATATTATTTCTATTTTCTTCTTCACCTTCGAGATATTGGTTTTAAACATCAAGAATATTGCTAACTGATATCCGATGTTTTATTAGGGGTAAGTTCTCAGAAATATTTAGATGTATAGAAATCCAAAGCATTTACACTTTGCGAGTAATCTAGCAAAAACATTTTAAATGAGTATGGGGCTTACATAGGTTCATAAGAAAATGTACAAACATACACTTTGTCTTGCTATCTGTATTTAAGGATACTTAACATAACGAATGGTGTAAAAGAATTAACAAGACTATATTGTTCCAAGCATACTATCTACGAAATCCCAAATAATTTGGGCCATTTTCGTCTAAATCCAAATATTAAAAGCCATAATCAAACTCAAACCTAATCCCACATTCACATATAAATTCAAACATTACCAAACTAAACCAAAAATGTGGATTTGGTGCATCCATATGGCAACGCCATGAACAATGCTTGCTCGAATTTTCTGAATACATGATGCAACTTTTATAGTCCAAGTGACTAAATTATCATATGTTAGCGA